TGAAAGGGTTTATATCACTGTTAATAAACTATTATTACTGAAGCATTAACATGTACACAGCATTTTAATGTTGTGGCAGGTGGATCAATGACTATTTTATATGTACTTGAGCAGGGTGACTTATATTAACGCATCAAATAAAATATGTGTTTGTTTTGTTTTCAAAGTTTGAATCCGTCAAATTGTTGTAGTGGAGTATTTTAACACAAATGGGAATACAAATAAAAGTATCCCAACATTTTTTCAAGGCATTTGTAAACAGAATGAATCACAGTATTGAGCAGTTTCAGCCCTAAAATGTGAGCTGCTCAGTGTCTGACTTTCACCTCAGACTCTATGTACTGGCATTAATTGTGTAATTTTATTCTGAAAAACAGAATTGCACCAGGAAATGAAGTGGTGTGTGTGAGTATCTTGCTCGAGACAACTCTTGTCAAACAAGAGACATCATGGACCTTCCTCCTCTCCCTCCTGTCGCTGGCTGCAGGGGTGGTTTCCTCTTATTTTTTGCGGAAGTGATGATATGTTCCATGAAACCTAATTATGTAAATTCTGTTGCACAATCATGTTGTGGATCAAATGAAGAAGTGTGTAGTAAATGATAGGAAATAACTATGTATCTCACATAAATGCAGTTTATATTTGTGTAGAAAGCAAGAAGATGTCTGGTGCATACTTCCATAAATCTCACTTATAACATGTTGTTGGAATAATAGTTTTCAATTCTTTTATTTTAAGGATGTGACTCATTGCAGTGAAGGGAAAGAAAGACAAAGTACAGCCACCTTCGAGCTGCAGGATGTGTGTGTGTTGCTGTTCTTATATCTTTATAAGGACCCTTTTAAGCATTGACCATACAGAGTGAGTCCATTTTGGGGAACTGAGGACATTTTGACCAGTCCCCACTTTGTCAATGGACTGTTTGAGGACTAACACTTAGGTTTTATGGTTAGAATTAGGTTTAAGTTGTGGTCAGGCATTTAGTTTAGATGGTTAAGATTGGGGTACGGGGCTGGGGTAATGTATTATGTAAATGAGTGTCCTCACTAAGACAGAAGTACAATCATGAGTGTGTGTGTGTGTGCGCGCATGTCAATCCCTTGCAGCTAAACCTGTTTTCCCTCAGATCATTTATCAGAGAGGTTTTCCTATATTTGGTCATCACATTAAACCTGAGGTTCCGCCGCTGGTCCCTGTGAAACCCTGCTCACATCCCTCGGTCTCTACTTCAGTGTGCCCCCCCTCCATATTGTCTTATATCTTATCTCTCCGGTCTTCAGGGGTCGTCTCTCTCACTGGCCCGTGCACAGGACGAGATAAACGTGCAATCAGCCGTGAGGAAGCACGCGGGCCTGATGTTTAACAACACGCACACAACAAACTGCAGCGTCGCTCGTGAAGAAGCCTCATAATGTTGTTTATACACACAAAAAAAAAAAATGCATCAACGCGATATTTTCCTACGTTCTTGCCTCGGGGCGGCGAACGCGCATGCGCACCGCACGCTCGGCGCTGGCCTTATTTGGATATGGTAATGAGTCGCCGCGCGGAGCCAATGAGGCGCCGCTGTGCTGCCACGTGACGGCGAGGCACCGCTCGGGGGGCGGGGTCGGGCGCGGGGCTCCGCTTAAAAGCGGAGGACGAGCCCCAGCGCTCTCAGTGCAGGGAGAAGCAGCGAGTCTCTGTGAGGGGGGAACTTTGTTTCTATGAAACTTAGCAGGATCCGCAAAATATTGTAAAAATTACCAAAATCCCTCGTGAACCAACCACCTGCCCCCAGGGTGCGAGGTTTTTAGTGCAGTTCGCCCGGAAAGGGCCGCGCCACTCACTATTCTTACACTTTTTTTTTTGAAAGAATGTGTGAGGCAGACAGTTAGCCGGCTAAGCTAGCTAGCTAGCTAGCAGAGAGGTGATACAGGCGGCAGGAGAACAAAAGGGGTTTTTTTTTTTCGTTGGGCCGGTTGTACTGACACCAAGTCCATGCAGAACGTGTCATTACCATCACAATGCCCGTTTTACTTTTTCTGATAGACACGTCCGCTTCAATGAACCAGCGCACCCATCTGGGCACTACCTATCTGGACATAGCAAAAGGCGCAGTTGAGACTTTTATGAAGGTACTGTAACCACGGGACAACACCGACACCTCCCCCGCTTCATCTTTGCTGCCGCTCCTGTCAGAGCGGATCTCTCGGTAATAACTCTCTACTGTCTCCACAGCTCAGGGGCAGAGATCCGGCGAGCCGAGGGGACCGGTACATGTTGGTAAATTTTGAAGACGTTCCCTTCGGGATCAAGGTAGAGTTTGCTTTCGGCTCATGTCCAGCTTTACATGTGCGCAGGTTGACTTGTCCTTCCCCCGTCGCTCCGCCACGTTGTGACCGCGACGCCGATTGTGTAGAGGCGATCTTCAGGAGGAGCTTTTCATACCCCTTTTAAAACATGGCCGACATTTTGTTTCAGTGCGAGCAGCAAGGAACTCTGGGTGTTATTTATACAGCGAGGTGAGATATTCTTGGGGGGGGGGGTGAGGAGGAGGAGGGAGGGGGTGAGGAGGAGAGAGTGAGAGGGGGGGCAGTTTCCTGCTTTAATCGTTTGAGACCAAATTGCCACTTTAGTGACGACCCACATGGCCACTGTGCCACTTTGTGATTTATGACCCCAGGCCTGGTCTCACCACCTGGTTAGAAAACACATCAAGCTGTTCTGTCCACTTATTGTGTTGTACCACCGGAGGAGGAAGTGATGTATGGTTATCAGTTCAAAATCATGACAACAAAAAAAGAATCCCTCAAGTTAACCATGCATACCTGTGGAAGTTTAACTTGTTAAATTAGTTTAGTTCACTTCTGCGTAATCCTTAAACGATTCTTCGAAACAACACACCGTGAATGAAATATCTTGTTTTATCTCCCCCCCCCCTTACATATAAATATCATAACATCCCACGTTAGCATAAGGACGAGGGTTCCTTCAGGCAGCGATGCTTCACCTCTGGCCTTCTCGTGGCCCTGCCAGAAAGGATGCGAGTCAAGTGGTCCACTTGTTAAATGATCAAATGTGGCCCAAATATCCCAAAAGAAACGTGGACCTTCTTTGACAAACACGCGGCGCTCTCGGCGAGGTGTAATCTGGATGTGAACGTGGCCCAAATGGCACAAAACAAAGTCGGGCCACCCTTGGTTGACATACGCTATCGCTACTTGAGGCCCAGATGTGGCTGGATGACATCAACTCTGCGCCAAAACAATTTTTGCTTTGTGTGATTAAAAACACATGACCATCCCTTTTTTGATTTCCTCTCTTGTTGGGTTCTTCTCTAACTTTATGCATTTTATTAACTATGTGTGTTTTTTTTTTTGTTTTTTTTTTAAAGGCCGGATGGAAGGAGAGCCACGCGACATTCATGACAGAGCTCCGCAACCTCCAAGCAGCTGGACTCACATCTATTGGCCAGTCCTTGAGGACCGCTTTTGATTTACTCAATCTCAATAGATTAGTGACTGGGATAGACAACTATGGACAGGTATGTAGATACTGAAGAGACCAGACAGGAAAAAAAAAACAGGTTTAATAAGCGCTCTATGACATGGTGCTGTATGCACCCACCTGCAGATCCCACCCACATCCTCCCCCCTTTCTCCCACTCCCCTTACCCCTACCCACAGTCTTACAAGCATCAACCACCTGTGAACTGTGACCCCACACACTTTCAGTCATGTGCTCAAGACACAAACATAACAGCAACAAGTTCAATAGAGACAGACCAGAACTCTGTCGTTAGTAACTGAGGTTTGATTTCACTACGTAGCTGCTTTTGGTCCACAAGTGGAAGGTGTATTTAAAATCCATGGTCTCTTACAGCCTTAGAGGCAAAAATGATTTCACTCAAGTTGATATTTTATTAGCCACACCCAGCTGCTCTCTCTCTGCTTTAAATCCAACTTAATTATTAAGGTTATAATGCAGATGTTTGTTGAAACAGCTGCCTCTTGTACGCAGGCTGTCATTAACATAAATGTAGTGGAAGTTTAATCAGCTCTTCTGCATTTAAAATTCTACAAAAACTCACCAATATAGCATTGAAACGAGTAGGAAATATAATAATTACAATATAATACAAGTCAGTGTACTTTGAAGCTGAGCGGAGAATATTTAAAATGTTTATTTCACAATTTAAATTCTCCACCGTCTGAGCTTTTCTAAGCAGGTTTTTAACTATTTTATGAAAAATATTTTACGTGAATGTCTGCTTTTACCTCATGCTGAGAATCCGACAGTGTTGAGTTCTGACCCATGGATTAGTTTCATTTTCCCTCCAGCTCAACAACAAACAAAAGAGTTTATCTCCAATGGAAATTATTTAAATATCCTGTTCGTGAACTGTGTGACAGGTTGAGCAAGTTAACAGAGAAACTTAACTTTAACAGATTTTTATTGTCCGTGTTCTGCGCAACTCATTTTGGAATTTGTGAAATTCAAACAACTCTCGCCTCCAGCTGAGCAGCAGAGTCGACACGAGTCACAGCTGGAAGCTCGCAACAAATATTCGTTATGCCCACAAAGTCTGGAACTAATTCAGCGTCACTGGTCCCGTTCCAGTAAGTGCTGCTTAATGACATCACCAGTTCAGTCTGTTTCCAGTTTAGGGAGGTAGTTGTTGAATGTGTGTGTGTGTGTGTTGGTTAGAAATTGTGATTGTGTTTCCAGTTTGAGTGCTGCTCTCATGTCAGCCTCATGACTTATCTGCAACACATGACCGTCTCCTTTCATCATGCTTCTTAGCGTGTAGTGTGACACAAAACGACCAGAGAGCCTCCTGAGGTCTTGATGTCACAGTAGAGCGAAAAATCCCAACAGAAAACATCTTACAAGAAATGAAACACATCATCCGCTTGGAATTATTTTTCCTCTGTCCAATGTTTCATCATCAGTGTCAGCAGCCTAGTTGTAGTTTGACACCTTTGTGAGTCTGCACACTTGATGTAGAAATCTGGATGTCTGTTTTCCTGTGTGTCAGTAGGACGGGAGCAATAATAAATGTTTAAGTAGCATTTCCTGAATATTAAATGGACGATCCCTACCATCCAGGGTAATGCATACAGTACACACAACATGTATAATGCATGTCACACTCTCTCTGGGAGTTTGAATGTCAAACATCAGCCCTGCAGTCAGACCAGCAGATGCTGTATGAAAACACGCTTGTGTCTGTCAACACAAACAGAACAGGTAGAGATCAAGGTCACGGTGTCCTGCCCTGGTCACTGATGACCTCTAACCACAGGGTGTTGTGACAGTAATTATCTTTTAATGACGGGTTCTTTCTCCTGTTTCACAACTGGAGGAAAATCTGTCTCAAAATAGAGGCCAGTGACCACGTTCTGTCTTTGACATCACAGTTTGACTCTGACATTACTAATGTTGTAATTATTGGTATCTAGTGTAATTTAGAAAAAGAAGTGATTTAGTGATAATAGCTTAATGACTACAGCTTATAGTTGTTTTTATTTGTGGTATTTATATAATTGCCTTTACTTCTAGAAATGGATAAATCATGAAATACTCCAAAATTATGTTAAACGCCTGTCACACTTTACTATAGCCCTTAAGAGACGAATTTCTAAATATATATTTTTTGTCCAATCGAGGATCTTAAACCAGATACATTTGGTTTACGATGACATAAAATACATTAAAAAGCAGTACATCCTCACATTTGTCAAACTGGATCCATCGACATGTTTGCTTGACAAACTGACGTTTGCACATCACATATCCTGTCAGTTGTCATTTTTTGTTTTGTCACTTTCAGTTCCCTCAAAGTGAAGTTTAACCACTTTGCAAGAAAAGATTTTTCAAGAGAAGTGGAACATCTGTGCCTCTGCGAATAATTAATTTGTGCTTAACTGAGAATAAGAAATCTTCACAACCTATTGATACTAGGGAACTCTGCACATACTGTGTTTTCTCATTACTCTTAATCAGTGAGTAAAGCAAGCCACGGTGTGCTGATGATGTGGCTGATGAACCTCATTTCCTCTGAACTTGGACAAAATTACCTGGAACTGATGTTACACGCAGAAGATCAGCAGCTTTTAGAAGTGCAGTTCTTTTCTTTTGAGCCATTGAAGTTGACAAAGGTTTCATCAGCGCCCTGACGACTACACACACTTTCCGTCGTGTGTATTTTTCAATCTCAATTTGCTTCCGCAGCTGTGAATCAAAGTCACGCCAAAGAGATGTGGCAGCTTGTGTTTTTGTTAGCGTTGTGTTTTGAAGCTCTTGTATAATGACTCAATATCGTCCGCTTGTCTTTCCAATTTAATTCATAAAGATAAATGGACTTTGATTTTTCATCCTCGTGCTGCATGTGTGAGATGTTCAGTGGGGTAGAGAGAGAGACAGGACAAAGAGGAGTTAAGCTAGTGGGTGAGTTAATATCGCCCTGGAGTGATTCTCTCTCTACAGTAACAAAAGAGCCCTCCAGGTTGCCAGGCGTCCAAGGTGACTCCCCTGGGAGATGAAGAGGGAGGTTTGGAGGAAGCGAGGGAGACGGCCCCGGCAGGTTATCCTGACACTGATCGCAGTTTCATTAAGAGAGCAGTGAAAGAGCAGAAGAAAGGGAGGACGAGGGCGAGGAAATGATATGACGGCTGACGCTTGGCACTTCGTTAACATGTCAGCAGGGATGATAAACAAGGCTCTAATGGATCTCCATCACTCTGGCTCTGTTAGTAGACCAGAGATCCTGCTGCTGCACATGAGCTTGACTTTAGCTGTGTACAAAGACACATCTTCACATGAGTATGGCTGCAGTTAATGATTATTTATATATTTGATCTTATTTTAATGAATCAATCCATTTTATCGCCTGTAGTACATCCGAAAATAGTGAAAAGAAATCCTAAAGCCCAGGGGAGTTGATAGATTTATGGATCCACAGGGAAATGTAGGCATTTGATAGCTTATATGACAGTAATGAAGAGGAGCAGCTCACATAAACACAAGAAGGGAACATTAGATAAGAGCAACAGTCGTAAAACACAATGCTAATGAGTAGGGGACATCATCACATGGCTTTCCTCCAGAAAACCGTGAATCTGAAGTTTTAAGTTTATTATATAATGAAGCTAAAACCAGCAAAAACTGAAGCAATTTTAAAAAATATTAAAAATGTAGATTTTCCTTATTGATGGATTGATTTGTTAATTGATTAATAGTTCCGTTCTAAACATGACCTGTCAGACGGCGGTGGACAAACCTGCAGGAGCAGAGCTTGCGGAGTCGGTTTGGAGCTAATGTGACATCCTATTATGTCATTTTAATAGATGTTATGACCAGCACCTAATTGCATAGCAACAGTAAATCGCTAAGTGAGCTGATGTGACATGGATGAAAACATCAGTCAAGTGGGAGGTTCACCTCGTCTGCTACTCATTAGCATGCGTAGAAAGTGCCCGAAGTCATAAAGGGATTTTTGGGGAAGGGAGGAGAAAAGAAAGTCCAGGTTGTCATGGATACCTACAGCACCATGCATCTCGGTTGGTGTCCCGCTCTGTTTACTTTGTGCTGGGTTTTTTTTTTAACCGGACAAATCCATCATTCAGCAGACGCCACAGCCTTCAGGTGCAGTTCAAACCATCCACATGCATGAATAACTGCAGCGCTGCAAGGACAGGACGGCCTTTATGACTCTGCAGCGATGGGGGGGGGGGGGGGGGGGGGGGGGGGCGGCGTGCTGACCGTCCGCTGACAGGACTCGTCGAGTTGCGTCGAGGTTAACTCCCCAAGTTTTTTTCCCCCCTGGACTAACGTATAGAGATAAATGCGGAGATGCTCCAGTTACATTTTGTCAGCGTGGAGTGCTGATGTCAAGATATATTTCAGCGAGAAGCAGAAAAGAGGTTTCATATAAATGAAATCCTGCCGTCGAGGAGGAGGAGGATGAAATTCATACGTTCATGCTGCAGATTCACACAAACACTCTCAGCGGTATAGATGTAGTCACACTACTTTTCCTGTTTCTCTTATTTTTTCCCTCAACTATAGTTCTCTGTACCCACCTCAATAGATCTGCATAAGTTATCTACGAAACGATGGGTTCATGTTCTTCTCTGTGCCATAAATACACTGCTGCTGAACTCCAAAATGAATTTTCCTCTTTGCTCCTATGAATTCTCTTAACTCTTTGTGTACCCTGCAGGGAAGGAATCCCTTTTTCCTCGAGCCCGCCATCATCATCACCATCACCGACGGCAACAAGTTGACGAGCGGCGGCGGAGTCCAAGATGAGGTCAGCCAACATCTCCACGGAGATGAGAGGTCCCAGCCAATCAGGAGAGTCTCCTGTGTGGCTGGATGAGCCACAATGTTCACTTTAACACAAGCATCAAACCCTCTCCTACTGTGTCACTGAGGCGAAAGTTTAAATCACAGAGCGGCTGCTATTATGTAGTACGTTAAAATTAGAAACATCCCATGACTATGTGAAGCAAAACAGTCCCACAGCTCCACGTCCTACCTCCCTCACTGTGAACAGCCACTTAGTTCAATATCTCCACCGCAGACTAGCGATAGAAGCTGTAATACTCATCATAACAACCAGATTTGGTCTACAACTGTTATAAATTGATGATAATTAACAATTTAATCTATAAAATGGCAGAAAAATTGTTAAAGTGTCTCTTAAAACTTCCCAAAGCCGAAGTTAATACATTCAACAGTCAAACGACTAAAAAAAACAGCTCATAATCAGTGAATTTTGGCCTTTTATTCTGAAATAAATCAAGTTCTTTTAATGATTAATTATGTTTTGAATGAATCAATGAATCCCATGTTCTTCAAAATGTTACGATGGGATAATTTGTAGCTCCCTAGAACCAGTATGATGTTTTGATATTGATTTAGTCTCAACAGCAAAACTCAAATATATTGAATTAAACAGGGATCGTTGATCAGAAATTCACATTTGAGAAGTTATAAAACATTCGAGTTGAATTTTTTTCTCGATATGTGACTTGAAAAACTGGGTCTGCTCGTCAGATTAAGGCTCTCGGTGACTCGCTAACTCCCTCCGCTGTAGATTATTTATTTCTGCCGAATATTTCTGACGCTCTTCCCGGTGAGACGGAGAGTTCAGCCTCGAGCCTGTTCAGACTGAGAAGGTCGACTTTACCTTAAGCTCCTCTGAAAGTTATATTCATGACTCACTTACCTAAGAAAGGTCTGAAAGGTTGAAGGAAAGCATGTTACTAATTTTCATGTTTTAGATGAAGGTTAAACTTTTACATAATTTTATATTTTGAGAGCAATATTTTTTAGCTGTAGTAAATCTTCTGCATCTCAAAATGAGAAAAGGTCTACACATAAATTGGACATAAGTGTTTTTGAATTATGCCGCCTTAAACACCTGATAGATTATTATATAGAATTATTTGTCAATATTCCTGCAGTAGAAGTCATAAAGTCCAAAACAACCAATTATATTACAGAGAAAACTGTCTTGGGATTTGAGTTGTCAGTCTGTGTGCACACATGCTGTCTTTCTCTCACCAGCTCTCACACATTATCTCTACTAATGATCCACGGTTCCGTCACTGACGCTTTCCTTGTCTCCCTACGCTGTCCAGCTCCATCTGCCTCTGACCACCCCGCTGCCAGGGAGTGAGTTGACCAAGGAGCCCTTCCGCTGGGACCAGCGCCTGTTCGCCCTGGTGCTGCGGATTCCCGGCAACGCCTCGGTGGAGCCCGAACCCCTCGGAGGCGTCCCGCCTGACGATTCCCCCATCACTCCCATGTGCGAGGTCACAGGAGGTAGGTCGAGTGCTGGTTTATGTGAAATATGGGCATAGAAATCACTTTAAGGGACACCTGTGTCCTTGAGGAGCCTGTGTAAAATCTTCTGAAGCTCTGGAGGAACATTCTGAAAATGTCAAGGTTAGAGTCGATCTTTATACTTTAAATATCTGACGATATAAAAACGTGTTGGTGAAAGATGAGGACGTTTATCAGATATATAACATGTAATGAAAAATGCCATGGATTTGTATTTTGGGAATTGGAGGATCCGGTGTGTTTGGTGTCCGACCCACGGGACAACTCTGCCTCTGCTGCACCTACACAGGCCTCATTTGTTTCAACAGAGCTGGGTGGAACATGCTGGGACAGGCTCAAAGTATTTATAACGCCAGATCAAAATAACTGTTTGTTAAATACATTCCCTCACACAGCTGATGAAGCATCCGTTAATACAAAGCCAGGGGAAAATAATAAGTGTCTGGATTTTCTAGGATATAAAGTGTTCATTGCCTTGGCAACTGTTCTTTGTTAATTTTGCCGAGGGACAGCCCGGAGCTCTGTCTCCGCACTGTGTTGCTCAACTGTCAGAGTTACTTGTGTTTACAAGTTTGTGAGACAGAGCTGAACATCCCAGTGCTCTTGTTTTTTAACCACTGAGCGACTCTGCTGGAGCTGTGGTGGAGGGCTTGAGTGCTTTGCTCAAGTGCCCTTCAGCAGCAAGTGTTGAATAATGTTAGACTAGATTTTGCCCACTGGTCCTGGATTCTCAGTGACATAGTATCAGGCCAATGATTTCAATCTGCCACGGACGGCAGAGTGTAAAGGACAAATTAAAGAAAATAGATGAGCATAATGATGTTTTATAATGAGCATTAAGTTGTAGTTGCCTCCACCAAGAATGTTACGTTTTCATTCTCATTATATGATTATTTATTTCTCATTATATTGCAACTTAAAATACTCCACAGTCATAGTAACGCCCCCGGATGCAGAATAAAAACCCAAACCCTGTCTGTCTCCCTACCAGTTCTAATGAAGTTGTCACAGCAGACTTTTATTCCTCCCGTCTCCGCTCCTCATGCCACCTGGTCGAAGCAGCTGGCAGGAGGAACAGACTGGAATGATGCTGATAGCAAGTTAAGATTAACACACACAGAGCTGTGTGCAGCAGTCAGTGGTGCTGAATGCAGAACATGACACAGCTCCATTGTCACTGACAGTCTACAGTACATGCTGCCTGTCCAGTACTGCTGATGGCAGAGCTGACACAAAGCCACAGCCTTTTGAAATGAGGGAGTGAATGGGTGCACAACAAGGTCACTGGAGGTGAAGTTGGAGGCAGCAAATGGCCAGAAGGCTGAATTAGACGAATCAGTCGTAGCTTTGTAAGAGCGTTTGGCTGATTCACGCTATGAGTGGATGTGACCTTCGCCGTCCTGTGAATGATCAGATCTTCAGAGCTACTTTTTTATTTTCGTGTTCGTTGTGTAAACGCTGATAAGACCCCGTAAAGATGAGCACATTGTTGAGTAGCAAGTGCTTCAAAGTGCACAGTTGTAAAGTCAGACACTGCAGCGTTTTACATTAAGCTAAGAGCTATGAGCTGAATCCCATTACGAGCTTTCATCCTGGAATATTATGAAACTGGTAATAAATGTATACTCGTGGTTGACTGTAATCATTTTGGATCTGATTTTAAATGTTTAAAATACTTTGAATCTCAAATTCTTTATCTTCTGTCACCAAAAAGCCGCTTATAGGAAGTTATTTATGATAAAGCTGGAAATTGACTCCATCAGAAAGTCCTAAATGTTCACGATTTGACAAGTGTTTTCTCAATACGCTATTTAGATAAGACGTAAATCTGTTGAAGCTGGAACACTGTGTTGAATCACTTCATATGTGTACATGTGTGTCTCTGTGTGTTTGTGTAGGACGTTCTTACAGCGTGTTCTCTCAGCGTATGTTGAATCAGTGTCTGGAGTCTCTGGTGCAGAAGATTCAAAGTGGAGTGGTGATAAACTTTGAGAAGACGGGGCCTGACCCTCCCCCACTGGAGGGTAAGACACACTTCTGTTTGTCTAAGTGAAATTTATCTCTGGATTCATCTCTGTAAGAACTTGTTGACAGCTGCTCTGCTGCATCTGATTGATTAGCAGGGAACCTCTTTGCTTTCTCCCACTCACATTTTTATTTTAATCCTCTCTGAGCTTTTCTTTACTGTTGCTCACAAACAGGTGGTGGATGTCACATTTAAACTCCAACCTTCGTGTTTTAACTGCCCACACAAACACTTTCTTGTCTGAGCTGCTGTCGGTTGTTTTAAAATAATCCTCTCCCGTATGTTCCTGTACAGACGCTCCAGCTGAGGTGTTGAAAGGTGGTCAGCAGCCTTGGCATTGCTGTCACAAGCTGATTTACGTACGACCCAACCCTAAAACCGGCGTTCCCATCGGCCACTGGCCCATCCCTGAGGCCTTCTGGCCCGACCAGAACTCCCCGACGCTGGTGAGAATCATCAAAACTAATTTAGAGCAGAAAGCTAGCAAGGTTTGACTTGGCACCTTCAAACATCTTTTAGGCTTCTGTTTAAATTTCTGTAGTTCATATCTTGGATGTGATTGAATACCGTACTACTGCTCATGTGTTTTTTGTTTCATATAATAATATCTACATCTCCTCTGGGTCTCACCCAGCCCCCGCGCTCAGCCCACCCACACGTACGTTTCTCCTGCCTGGACTCTGAGCCCATGGTGATTGACAAGGTGCCCTTCGACAAGTACGAGCTGGAGCCTTCGCCTCTCACACAGTACATTCTGGAGAGGAAGTCTCCACACACCTGCTGGCAGGTACAGCACCACGCACGCACACACACACACACACACACACACACACACTTTTAGAGAAAGGAGAGATAAAGTGACGCATGGTACATTATCTAGCTCCCTGGTGGTTCAATGATAAATTCATTGTGCTACAGACCTGAACATTGACATAATAAATTCACAATAATACTTTTTGAGAACAAACTACACGTCACTGTACTGAGCATCGTCACGAGGATCTTTCCTCTGCTGCCACCTTCAGACCTTTCAGCAGTTTTACTCCACATATTTTATTTTTCCAATATTGTGTCTCTATTGTTCATTATAAAATGTATTTTTCTCGTTTGCTCTGCGTCTCAGGTGTTTGTGTGTAACAGTGCCAAGTACAGTGACCTGGGCCAACCCTTCGGCTACTTAAAGGCCAGCACAGCCCTCAACTGTGTCAACCTGTTTGTGATGCCCTACAACTACCCTGTTCTTCTGCCACTTCTGGGTGAGAACTGATTTAATCTACTTCATTTTCACTCTGTCTCTCTCTGTATGTGCTCCTCTGTCATTTCCACCCGTTCCTCCAGTTATTTCAGAACTCTTTAATTAAAGTGACTCTGTATTGATGTGTTGGTTCGCTTCCCTTTCGCAGACGATTTGATCAAAGTGCACAAGTTTAAGCCAACCATCAAATGGCGACAGTCCTTTGAGAACTACTTGAAGACCATGCCTCCATATTATATCGGGGTCAGTGGATTTGACATTACTCTGTAGCTCTTCAAGTGTTTGTTTTTATCATTATTATTAACAAGTTACGATTCCTGCACTGTTCTTATTGTCGTGTTCTCGCCGCAGTCTGTGAGGAAAGCCCTGAGAATCATGGGAGCACCAAACCTGCTGGCCGAAAACATGGAGTACGGCCTGAGCTACAGCGTGGTCTCGTACCTGAAGAAGCTCAGTCAGCAGGTTTGTTGTTACACTGTTTGGTCTTTTCTCTTGTTTGGACAAAAAAACAACAGGAGATCTGTTCTTATTGTTAAAGACATTTATATTTAGCATAGATGAGCAGAATATACACATTTAATAAGTTATTTATAAAAAAATACTATATACTGATGGGTTCCTACTGGACAAGTTCTAGTTAACAAATACATTAATACACACCTGCTTGAATGCTGAATTGGGGGATTATGAGTTGGTTGCTGTTTATGTTTGAAGTAAAACACTGAATGTTAATATTTCATATTTCCAGACAAAAATCGAGTACGACCGTCTGATCGCCTCGATTGGTAAAAAGCAACCACCAGAGGCCGGCATCAAGGTGCGTTGGCGGGGCGGTGGTATATCTCTGGCCCAGCGCAGGAACTTCATCCATCAGCTGCTGAATCTCTCAGGAGAAACCCCGACTCTGCCCGTGGAGCTCAACCCCAAAGAGTTTCAAGGTTTTCATCTGGCTCTGCTCAACAAGGTCAGATTATATTTCAAGACTCTAAGAGAGAACAAAGATAAACCAGACTTATTGTTTCATGTTCAAAATTGTCTTGAGTTGATGTTTACTAAGCTTCATTAAATTTGAAAATACGGATTTTTTATTTTGTTAAAATCTCACTGTTACTCATTCACTTTCTGCTCAGACCTTCACTTCCTGTCTGGCTTTTCATTTGACAGTCCTCCCGAGTTTTGTCTTATGTTTTGGTCTCTCTCTCTCTCTCTGGACTTGTTGTGAGGCTGAATTCAAACTCTCATCCTTCGCTTTACAATCCCCTCTGTCTTGTTTCGTTATCAGGGCCTGAAGCCTCAGAGCTTTAGGAATCCCTACGACGTCCCTCGCAGCCACCTGCTGGACCACCTGAGCAGGATGAGGAGAAATCTGCTCAACACCAGCGTCTGTTCTCTCCGAGGGCAAGACTCAGGTAAGTCGCTGTCTTTTTTTTCCCTCACTAAGGTTGAGAACTTCAGCCACTGAAGGAAGGATTTTCAGCTCAGGATCAATGGTGGATGTCTCCCTCTATGTTAAGAGAATTCTTTTCTGTCTTAATATTCAGACCAGCTCCACAGCGTGCCAATCGCCCAAATGGGCAACTACCAGGACTTCCTCAAAGCTGCTCCTCAGCCTCTTCGAGATGCAGACCCCGAACAGCCCAAACGCCTGCACACGTTCGGAAACCCCTTCAAACTAGACAAGAAGGTTAATCCCACTCTTATCAACACTTATCAACCCTGCCTTCATATTCTCTCATGATGAAGAGTGAGATGAAAACCACAGACTTAGAATTCCACTCATTAACATGTCTTCCTCACCGTTCTCTCAGGGTATGATGATCGACGAGGCAGACGAGTTTGTGACGGGCCCTCAGAACAAAGGGAAGAGACCAGGAGACAGTAGCAACATGCAGGGCGGAGGCCCCAAGAGACGGCGCTGCATGTCGCCTCTGCTTCGTCTGGGCAGAGCTTACACGCCCCCAGTATCGCCACCCGCCAGCCCTCGAGCTACAGCAGGTGAGACATGGAAACCGTTTTTTTTTTCTGCAAATAATACAGAAATACCTGAAAAAGCAAATAAACCTTATTTTATATTATTCTATACAAAGGAAATAAACAAATGGCTCTTTCTTTTAAATCTCTGAACTTGTAGACATGGACCTGAATGACGGAGCACCTGAACCAGACCTGATCATCAACCACCTGAGTCAGAACCATTACAGCTCAGACACTGGCTCGGACTCGGAGGTGGATCATCTGTCAGGGTCGACCAACCACCAAGAGAACCACACGGCCCTGGAACCCCAGGACCTCCTGCACGGAGACGGAGACGAGGACGAAGAGAACGGCCAGCCCCGGGTGGGGGAGCTGCCGCTGGTTAGCGAGGAGGAGGAGGGCATGAACTTGCTGCTGATGGAGGACCAGCCGCCTCGCTACCTGTCGCCCACAGCTCTGAAGAAGCACATCCACGACGAGACGACGAAGGTCAACAATGAGCTTAGGGTCCTCATCACCAAGGAGATCAGGAAACCTGGCAGACGTAAGTAGAATACACATGGTCTGTTTTAGAGGGGGGTCGGGTGGTAATGGAAACACTCAGGGCTTTTGTCGATAAACTGCAGTTTTTTGTGTCAATACCCAAAGAATAGTTTTTAGACCTTACTAAGAAATATAAGAATGATTGTCAACTAAAGGTCACAGAATATCTATTAGACAATTATCATTGTTTGAAACCTGAGAACAAATCACCTTGGTGATCAGACAATATCTTGAAATAATTGACGCTGAGTTGGATCAAAGACTTCAGCTGTTCACAGACACAGAAGTTATCAATCATTGAATCTTCATTCACTCCTCTGTGCTCCAGACTACGAGAAGATCTTCCTCCTCCTGAAGCAGATCCAGGGAACTCTGGACACTCGGCTCATCTTCCTCCAGAACATCATCAAAGAGGCGGCCAGGTAACGAGTTTAACCCCAGTTCCTCTGCTGCCCCCGGGCTTTAATCAGCAACAAAACATCTGCGCGTTGTCACACAAATAACAAAATATAACTGTAAAAACTGTTTCCTCTGAACATATGAAAGATAACGTTTGTTTTCTGCAAAGGTTCAAGAAGCGCGTTCTCATCGAGCAGCTGGAAAACTTCCTGGAGGAGATTCACACCAGATCCCTGAACATGAACCACGTGGACCCGCTCTGAGACGAAGCGATCCCAAACTGGACTTATTGATAATAATGAACCCGAGGCCCCTTACCCCTCCCCTCCTCCCCCCCTGTGTCTTGGGGCACCTGCGGAGACGAGACAGCATCCAGCTCTCAGAACTCTCCCCCCTCAGGTGGACTCTCTGTTGGTTTACACACAGTATGAACTGTAGCAGCAGTGTTGACTCTGGATGACGCAGGTGCATTGTTCAGATATTAAAGGGGGGGGGGGGTCATCTTTGTTGCTGCAGGTGAAGTGTTTGCCTATGCAATGGGATGTTTGGCCTGTTGAACATTCGGCCACGGTCGCTTTTCAGAACTGTGAATTCATCCTCAGGCGTTCCCTTTGATTATCCTCCTCCCCTCGATCTGATCGTTTTGTTTTTAAGCGACAAATGAAAAAGAAAAGTCTCAAGTGGGGAAGAGGAGTAAATGAGGAATGTTTCCGCAGCGCACCACCCTGCCCCTGGATAAGATGTTCAATCCTGAGTTCTCTGGCGTAAAAGTTACAGGCCAACAAAGAAGGAATGGGTTCACGTGTGCACGTTTTCATCCAACTCAGGGTCAGATGGGATCCAGCTGAGAAGTTCAAATAATTACTTTTCTCATCATCTTTTCATTCGTTCACTTCTGTTTTCAGGTTTGGTTTTCTGGGTTTTGTGGGAGGATGAGAGTCCGTCGTGTGCGACTGTTGAATTCTAATTTCCACACTCCGCTAACTGAAGCACTCCACTGCTGAGCTCTTAAACGGAATTCATATTATCGTGCTTCAATTCAGATCTCGACTTTGTCAACTGGTGGTTTAACTAATAGAATGACAATTGATATTACTGAGGCATAACATGACAATGAATAATAATTTTTCTTCCTCCTGAGGGAAAAAAAAAAAACGATCCGCTGCTTTCGTTGCATTTGCAGGCGGTTAACTTAAAAAGTCGGAGGCTTTTGCGGCGCAGGTTCTCAGAGAGGGCAACACGGTAAAAAGTTAAATAATTGTAAATGTTTGAACAACATTATTGGTAATAAATGTTGAAATACAGGGACAAGAAGCTCAGGAACTGATACTTAATGCATCACGATCAGCAATAACGTCGGAGCAACATTAATTCCTCCACTACCACCTAACTCTTACTGTAGTGTGAAACAGCTGATGGGCAACATCGACCGTCGTCCCCTGGAGTGTTGATGAACCCGAGGTCTCGGATGCCAGCTTGTCCCAATGTGCTGGTCGCTGCCAAATAATGTTAACCCCCTAGCCCCCCCCCCCACCCGCTCCCTGAACCCGTCTCCCTGCCGTGAATCTCAAACAGACTTCTTGTCACTTAACCGTGAATGCACTTGTGTACATTTGAGAATGTTTATTTAATATAATTTGTTGCAGAAGATTTTTTTTTTTCTCCTCCAACAAACTTCAGTCGGGGCTTTTCACTTTTCTCAAATATACACAAATAATCTGAACTAAGGTCAAGAGTCGATTTCTGATTCAGGGGGCCGCCCTTTTTCTGTCCCCCCCCCCCACCCCCCCCTCGGACAGGGACCAAAATCTGCCATACTTGTCTTTGTTTGTGAAGAGGCCGCTACCAAAAGAGTATTTTGAATACACTGTAAAGATGTAAATAACCCTAGAGTACTATTTAAAGAGAATGTCCTGCGTAAAATGGCCTTTTTGTAAGTATTTCCATGAATAAAGTTTCTATTTTACACTGTGAAAGGCCATGTAAATAAAGTGTTATGTAAAGATGTGACTCTGTGTGTTTGTGCATCAGGAAGAAATTAGACTTTTTAATCCACAATAATGGAAGAAAAGGATCAAAACAGCCAAAAATGTAAAAACATGTATTAAAATTTTATTTACATATATGTACAAAAATATTGTCCCTCTTCCTGAAGTGTCCGTGGACCCTCCTGTTGGTCCACAAATAAATACCAGTAGTGAAATAGGGGGTCGGGGTTTAAACGTGTGTGTGTGACTGAGTTTCAGGGTGCCTGGTCCGCTGGGTTCATCACTCGGCCCATGAATAAGACGGATCCTAGAATCAGGAAAAATAAGGAACGTTAAGTTTTAAGAATCACACCACAGTTTTATTCTGTCACTTTATATTAACTATATCAGATTCTTCCTGAAAACAAAGGTCCTATGTTTCATTCATCGACTGTAAAGAAAGAAAGACGACATGACAGCTACCCAAAAGTGAAGCCACAGCATTGTGATCTCCCCCTGGTGGCAAGCTGCAGCAAACCATTCCTCCTATGTCGGGATATTTTAGCTTTAAGAGGGAGGAGACACATTATCCATGTTTATCCACATAAACAAAGATCAGATGAGATGTGATGGGATCTAATAGACTTTTTAATTTGGCCTATGTCCCATTCTCTAATATGGAGGAGGTGGAGTTTATGAGCTTTGCAGCAGCCAGGGGGCGATGAAGAGGATTTGACTTCACTTGTTGGGTTTGTTTTTGTTGTATTTTTTGCTGCAGTCCAGAAGATATTTTAGTTTCGCAATAAAATCTCCAGCAGATGTGTTTGAGTGGTGCAATCCATCAATCACAGCAAGTTCACATACATTTTGGTCGAACCTGAGAAATAATTTTATAACCGTCACCAAAAACTATAAAGCATAAAAACGTGTTTTTCCATCTCTCAGTACTTTACGACTTCCTGCTCTGTCTGAATCTCAGCTCGAAGTCCACTCTGCTCCCGGTGAGGACATAAATCTCTCAAACAATAGCTCACGGTTTCATTATTACGAAAACAGCTGGACAGCTTTTTAGAAACTGTTGCTCAAACAGGGAGATGTGTTGTATTTGTCCACGACTATTTTCATTATCTGGATTTATGCACATTGATGTATTTATAGAAGGAGGATCAAAGTAAAGCCTATGATAATTGCAGTGAAGAAATACGTCACCCACTTCTTCTGTGTGGATCACAGATAAGTAATAGTTGATTTGTGTTTTGGACTTTGGAGACACAGTGTGGTGCATCACACAACTCATGCAAGTCTCAGGTATCTGCAGATACGACTTTCTTTAAAAAGAAATCACTGCAACACGATTTGCACGATGATGTAAACTAAAGTTGAGCTAAATCATGCAGAACATCTGGAATGATCATTTCAGGAGACCTCCCTGCAGCCTGGACTGGGAACAGACTCATCTTCAGTGAGAAGTAAATACCTGTGTTAACCTGTCGCAGCAGAAATAAGAACGGCCGGTCCGCCTTGAAAACAGGAGCACGGGATCGTTTCAGCAGCACCATAGCTGCAAAAGAAATTCCTCTTTTAGCAAACCTTCCATTTTCCTTTTGTTTTCTTATCAGCTCTGCAGAATGTTCTCATCTCTACCTGTGGCAGCAGCTGCCTTTGTCCCGTCTTCTGTGACTTCTATCCTCACTTCATGGAAAGCATCAGACACATAAAGACCCTCCTCCACTGCAGGAAGAAACAAACTGTCAGCTTCAGTCACCAGGGAGCTGTGATAAAAATCTAGATTTTTCAATTGTCTGATGTATTGACCTGAGATTCCAGTGAAGTCAGCCGCTGCCGGGTTGAAGGCGTCACTGATGCCCATGGCAGGAAGCACCGACCTCAGGTTGAACTTGTTCTGCATCCTGAACCTGTAAATACCAGAAGAAGAAAAGAGTTTTATTGATCTACACTTGGCGAAGAGTCATCTAAATCAATATTTTAATAGACTGCGTGATTCCCACCTGGGCAGGAAAATGTCCATCTTGGTTCTGCGCAGGCCGGTGTCCCAGGACGCCAACTGGCGAGCGTTGAGCTGGGAGTCGAGGGAGGACAGCGGCGTCTTCCTCTCGCTGGGCAGGACCACCTGCAGACTCAGGGAGCGGCCCAGGTAAGGCAGCTCCAACACGGTGTAGCGCAGGTCTGATGCCGTCCTGAACTGACCTGCAAACAAGTTGTGTGACTTAGGACATCTTCATTATTTTCACCTCGTCAGGAGGTCATGGATCTGGATGGAAACTAATCTGACATATTTAGGGAACTGATATTTAAGAGCATGTGCAGTTTGGTGCTGTCTCTTACCGAAGCTGACCTCTGTGGCCTGGTACATCATGGGCACCTTGATGGCGCTCCCGTCTGAGAGGGTGAAGGGCAGGTTCTGGGTGTTGGTAAAGAGAAAGTGTTTCTGCCAGATGCCCCTGAAGGCCACCGTGTTGACCAGGGCCATCTGCTGCTGGTGGCCCCACCACAGAGCCTCCGTCTGGGCCTCGCCCGAACCCGACAGCTCCCCGCTGCTGCTGCCTGCCTGGAGGGGCCACGTCTCGTCTGGGAGTTAACAAGGGATTGTCAGAGATTAATAAATGTGACAATGCTACTGAGGAAGAACCGACTTCACATCAAAATCACATTAACTCTACATCACATTTTATTTTCCTTAAATTATACTTTTCTCTGGAATGAACTGTTGTATACAGCTGGGTTACCGTGGTTGTGGACCGGTCTCTCCTGCAGGCTGCGGGTGTGGTTGGGTTGGCTGAAGTTGGCTCGGACCACACTGGTGTTGGCCCAGACGGCTGCGTGCTGTGTGAACTCAGTCAGGAGCTGGACACCGCTCTGGATGAATAACGTGCACGTCTGCTGCAGCCACATCCCCTGGCTGGTGTTGCTCACGGCACCCTGGGAGTGCAACAGCAGGTCATGTACCTGAGCGTCTGTGAGACGGGAAAACATGGAGGACAGGTCAGATGTGGTGGAACTTCACGAGCAGCTGGAAGTTTATGAAACAAGTTCAAACTCCAGAGCCGTGTGAGAAAAGCAACGTGCACACAAAAGGTTTTCGCTTCTCATCACATCATCATCACTGCTGCTGCAAAAACCGTGAATAAAGGTCTTGTTACATTTCCACGATAAAATAACGATGGCATCAGTTTTTCAGCTCAACAACCTCCGGCTTGTTTTGGCAACAATTTACTTGAAGTCACAGCATCTCCCTGCAGACATGAGCACGAGGAGAAACAATACTTTGGCTTCAGTTTTGGAGAGCTGTGTGTTTCATTAAGCCATCGTTCTAAAGATCCCAGTATCATCCACCTCCATCCCGGACAGGTAAAACAAACAGCAGCAGGAAATCGCTTTTTGTTTGTAATGAAACACAGTGACCTCTCGACCCCGGGGCCAAGCTGCAGGAGTGGTTAATGAGATTAGAGTTGGTGTGGAGGCAGGTATTACGGCTCCAGACACCACTGAGCTCTGTAGGGCCAACAGCAGCTGCAGCACCGCTCCACACCACCTGGTACCAGCGGCACTGAGAGCCACCGACCACCTCTCCACCCTCGCTCTCACAGCATCAGGAGCAGCTCATGCAAACTCAAGAAAACCCCTTTCTCCCTTCAGACGAACCCTACCGTTGACGTTGTATCCCAGAGTCCCCTCCAGCTGAGCCAGCGTGTTGCCCCTGGCCCCGAACTGCAGCAGCCCCAGAGACAAGGAGACGCTCACAGGAGACACGATCAGGTTGGAGTTGTTCTCTGTCTCGGTAAGAGTCTGGTAGAGGCTGAGGGCGAACCTGGTGTGCAGAACTCCCATGCTCTCCTGCAGGCTGCCGTTACAGTGGCTCCTCTCCACCAACCAGAAGCAAATAAGGAGTGAAGCCACCGGCAGGCGACGCATTTCCTCAGAGCTGCAGGAGGGGAAGTGTCCTCAGGGTGCAACAGGTGGTCTGGAAAACAAAATCCTGCAAGAAAAGAAGATAGATTCATTTAAGTCAAGAGCTGTAACCCAGTGGACAGTCATGATGTGATCATATCACAGAAACTCTGTGCACAACACTGTAAACCTCGTTGCACTGAACATTGACTTTATTATTCTGCATGGAAACATTTGAAATATTGTGATAATCTACACTAACATTGGAAGACATATTCCAGAAGAATCATTGGTGTGGTCTGGGTACAGATTACATGAATATTTTCAAACATGAAGATAATGACTGAAAAAATAAACACAGCAAAATCAGTGGGTTTTAAAATATTATGAAGTATCACTGTGAGACAGCCAAAGCAAAGTACTTGCATTTGATGGGTTAATTAAAACAGCAGTTGCAAAAAGCAACAAATTGCAGTACTGAAGTACTTTGATTGAGTATATGCTGTATTAAACATGTACTCTAATTGTCTACAACAGATAATAAAGGAGCCAACATCTTGACAATGATTGATTGCATCATTATTTTAGTTATAATAAACCATTTATGATCAAACTTGGCTTTGCAGATTATGTTTTGCATATTTTTCTTTCAGAAGGTATGACATGTATGACACCATTGATTAAATTGCCCTGCAGAATATCACATGGTCAGAACTAGATCTTACTTTAGTGCAATATTTAAACGATGCGATAATACATTTATAGTTTTACCCTTAACTTCACTTACATACATGTAAAGGTCAAAAACAAATGTGAAATATAAAAACCGCAATAAGATGATTGATAATAAACGTCCCACATGATAAGTGTCTCTAGAGTAATTGTCTGTCTGGTCTTTGTCAGTTTAAAGTGCATGTTCCTCTGGTGGGATGCAGATGGGGGGGTGGGGGGGGAGGGAGGTTTCAGCTCCTACCTGCAGACAGCTGAGGTGAATCCGTGTGAGTCCAGCGACCCTCCAGCCTGTGCAGCGGGAGAAGTGTCCTCTTGTCCCCGGCTGTCGGTCCGTCTCACTGAGGCAGCCTGCAGTCATAAGACCGTGTTTAAAGGGGAACGCTCCGCCGGTCTCCGTCGGCGATGTCCGTACCACTCGTCCGGGACTCCTGCCTCCCCGGGGCTATAAGGAGCCAGGCGGAGGGAGGCATGTCACCGAGCAGCAAATCCCAAACCAGGCAAAAACACACACACACACACGCGCGCGCACTGCACAACACGGCGCGCGCGCACTGCACAACACGGCACGCGTGCACGGTCTTTGAAATTTTAATTATAGGCCATCATTTGTTGGGAACTATTATTAGGCCTCAGAAACACATTCCTGTCAGACGAACACGAGAATTGGAGAATTAAAAAGTGCAAAATGATCAAAACTGTGACGTAGAATATAGAAATAAATATGATGTGAAACATTCTGAAGCTTAATTAACTTCTTCTCTCTGATCTGGGATGTTCCCCCACATGTTTTTTTTACGCTAGCTTAGCATAAAGACTGGAAACAGAGGGAAACAGCTAGCCTAGCTTTGGAATCCACACACCAGCAATTAACGAATCACCAAAAAACACCACGAACAAAGACTTCTCAGCTGTTATCGATGAAAGTGATGAGTCATTTATCGGTGCTCGAATCTAGAAAGCATCGGTAAATAATTCATTCAGCATCAGAGAAGCTAATGTGCTCGGACAGAGAGAGGACAACGACTGTTTGAGATTAGCTCACGAAAACTCTCCTATTTTAAAAGTGCTCAATTATTTTTATCATCACTCCTGATCGATGTGCCACAGTGGCCACTGGTGGTACTGCAACGTAGCAGAAACCTCTGACAGGAAACCTCAACCTACGAGTCACTTCTTAGACTCTTCATTCTTATTCACACAGAAAATCTGGATGCTTCTAGAAAGTTTTATAGCTGGTGTCATTCTTTTCATGAGACTCTTGGCAAAAGAGCGAAATGCATAAAAAGGTTAAAGTTCCTTGAAATTAAAAATTCAAAGTCACGATTACCGACTGACTCAGACGTTCACACATGTGATCTTATGCATCATTATACTTCTTTATCACTGAACCTGTATGATTCTGATGAGAGATCCAGCAATTTGAGAATTAGTTCATGGTCTCAAGCCAAATGTGCTGAATCACCTGAGGCCCAGACTCAAACTGATCGAGAGTCAAATTAATGTTATTTCCACCGAACGGCTGCTTGTTGTGGGAACCGTTGGGTTTCTCTATACATTTTAGTTTATACATCTTTTGCCATGGATTGTATTAATTGTATTATTATTACCTGACTCGTCTATTTGGCAAATGCATTGATTTTAGTCCATATTCCTTGATAATTAATTAAGTAACACAAGACAGTGAAGAAATGAGGGACAACTAACAACTTTTCATCCTCAGGGCCCCCAAGGAAAAATGTTTGGCATGGAGACACACAGATGTATGAGAGAGAACATTTCTAAACTGGTGTCTGTAACTTTAGTATTTACAGTTATTTATCATAATACATTTGTATAATTTAAAACATTTTGCATGGACTTCTCTTTCAGGGTTGTAGATTCTCACACACACACTAAGACATCTGTTGTGTTACACAAATCAATTGTGCTTTTGTTGTGTTGATCAAAAGACATTTCAGCTCCGAGCGTCACGCTGCTGCGTCAGCGTTTCTAATTGGTTTCACTCTGTGGAATGTGGACGGACCGACTCACTCATCGTGGACACGTCGCCGCCCCAGTGAGAGATGAATAACAGCGTCTCAGTCATCAGCAAATATTCTCTTCTGTGTGCGGACGAGGCTGCAGCGCAACGAGGGCCTCCGGTGGGTTTCAATTCAATTCAAAAGCTGCTAGCTGAGATCAGTCACCTTTATTAAATACAGAAAATCTGAGCAAGAAAAGAAAATGAAAACCAAACTCAGTCAAAGGGATGTAAAAAATAAAATAAATAAAATAAGAAACCTAAAGACACAAGAGTGTACAGCCAGATGCTAGCAGCAGTGAGGCTGTTCAGATGCAGTAGCCTACTTTAAGCTAAATGCTAACACTAGCGTGGAAATATGTTGACACGACCTCAATGTTTTCCACATTCACCATCTTAATGTTATCGTGTCAGCACGCTAACATTAAGCTAGGTCATCGTGATGCTACTGAAGGAAAAGTCAAGGGAAATGTCATCACGCTACACCATCTGCTAATGGCTAACAACTGCATGGAATTATGGTAACATGGTAATGCTATGTAGGTCTCATGTTTTAGTTATTTCAGTCTGCACCAATTAAACAAATAAAGCTATAGAGTCTCTAAAGAGCTGTGAGTTTTAGCTCTTAAGAACTCCTTGAACATTTTGCAGCAAGAAAGAAAATCAAAAAAGTTTGTCTAATTAACTTCCTACTTCAGGGGAAAGCGTTGTACAGATTCATATATATATATAATTTAAACCTTCCAACCCTTTGGCATTTACTTTATTAAAGCACAACACAGACTTAAACAGACTTTCCCTGTATATTCACCTTAAATTAATCTGCAGCGGAGAGATCTCCCCTCGACTGTCCCTCTTAATTGGGGACATGACAGTCAGCAAAATAAATTGTGGACATTTTTTCCCATGAAGGAGAGAACATGATTGGTAGCTATCAGGTATTTGGCTGCTTTGTCTGACGGGGAATTCCGGCCATTACTGGACTTGACTAATTAGTGGAGCCATGGCTCGGCTTCATTAAATGTAATCGCCACATTCTTTAAAACCCAACGCCCCGACTCCGGACGCCGGAATGTGGAATTTTAAGGACAGAGGAGATGAAACGTCACGGTAACTGACCAAAGACAATCGCCTGAAGAGATGCCACCGCAAACAGCAGCTTTTTATGTTGGCGGTCGCGAGGCCTTTGGAGGACCATTATGTTAAGAGGTTCATATTTGTGAAGGAGAAATAATGATTTGTGCTCTCTGTGTCTGATCCCTGGAGCGACTACACAGCCAAGTGCCGCTGCTGCGAGAGGTCGGGGTGGAGCAGAGCTCAGGAGGCCTCGGCAGGAGCTGCAGGCTCTTCACTCATCTGTGCAGGTGGTGATGTGGCCTTGGCTCTATTTCATTACAACGTGCTAATATTAACAACACAGTCACCCTCAGTGCTCTTTGAGCTGCAAGTTCACTCCACTGTTTGGTCAGCTGCCACTCGGTTACAGCCAGGCCAAGCCGAGGTACTGACCCGGCATGCCAACAAGTTCCAGGCTGCATCCAATACTGAGCCGTCTCTACAAGCCAATGACAAATCAAGAAGAAACTCTTTAAAAGCATTCGAACACAAAGCACATACCTCAGCCCCAAAACAGTGAAGGTAATAGCTACTAGCACTGTAGCTCCTGGAGAGATTCCAATGTCAATCTTTCTTTGGTTTGGATTAAATAAATTTTTTCATACAGATATTCATCGTGCTCCAGAGGATGAATCTAATTATCTGTTGAGTCTCTAAAACATCCATCATCTTTACAGTTTATCCTTTGGGGTGTATCTGGAGCCAATCCAGGCTGACATCTGGAGAGAGGTACGCTACACCCTGGACGGGTCACCAGTCCGTCACAGAGCTGGCATACACAGACAAACAACCTGTCACATCTTCAGACAGTTCAGAGTCTCCAACTAACCCAAGATGTTTCTCAGCCATCAGGTTCAAACTCCAGCGATCAGAAAATTACTAACTATTATTTTACACAATAGTTTATTTTGTCTAGTGAAGGAAACACATTTGAATTTTGTTGAGAAAAACAACAAATACTCACAGTTGTTGATTCATTTTCTATTCAACGGACTTTGGTCACAAGGTGTAACAATAATAATTTTAAGATTTAAAAATGTCTCCTCTAGTACAATTACAATAGTTTCAGGCAGTCGTCATGATAGAGAGTGAACGTTTCAGTGCGAGTTGTCGTTGGTATGTCATGTCAGAAATGTCCTTAACAATGACACTAATACCCAACACGTGCATGTCAGTCTGTTTCCAGCAGCTTATTGTTGTTGCTCCATGAGAATTTCTCCTTCCATCACCAAATATGTACATTGATGATTGTCTGTGTGACTCTGCGACGCCTCCGCCTTTCTCCACACAGCAGCAACTTAATCCCCAACTGGTGGAGACTGTCCCCAGGCTCTCCATTCACACCTCTCACCCCAGTCCCCTCTCCAACCCGTGACCTTTGACCTGGCCGGGGGGGAAGAAATGACAATGAATGGAGAAGGAGGAGAAGGTGGAGGAGTTCACGGTAGAAACTGCACCGCTAACACACTGTGGGGTTCGATTCCTTGTGTTTCAGGGTTCAACTAAGAGGAAAGGACCCGAAGAAGGAATTATGAAGAAGAAGAAGAGCTGAGGAAAGTCTGGTTGTAGTAGAAATGAAAAGATAAAGTAAGTGGTCTTATAAACTAAATTACTTATTTGTCATTAAACATAGTTAAAGAAAGTGAAAAGAAATCCTGTATCTGCTGCTTAATCTGTATCCGCACCTAAATTTAAGGGTTCTTCTTAGAAAAAGTCAAAGCTGCATCAAATTGCAAACACTCATAAATATCAAACCTCTTCTTGTACCTGATTATTTCCATCAAGGTTCATGAATCATTTCCTCGGAAAGGTTAAATGGTAAAAACTTCCTGGATCCTGCTCTTTGTTGATGTCTGCGCCAAAATGAAATGGATTGTTTCTAGGCCCGTGTCTCAACCTTCCACCAAGTTTGGAAGAAATCTCTTCGGTAGTTTCTGCGTAATCCTGCGGACAAACACACCAATTTAAAACATATCGTCCTTTGCGGAGGTTACAATTTAAAAAAAAAAAGAGGAAGATGAACAAGACTGAGACAAGAAGAAAAAGATAAAACAAGGAGTGAAAAGAAGACAAGCAGAAATACTGGCAAAGTTAAGAAGTAGATGCAGAGTCAGTTGTGACACAGCCTGTGTGAGTGACATTTGTGATTTGTCAGTAGAGATGCACTGAACACACGACGGAGGACTCACTCATTCTGCTTCACCTCCAGTGCCCTACTTCCCTTCAGGCTCCAGAGCCTTTGGGCCGTTCAGGCGGGGAAGGATTAGAGGGGATGCTGGTGTGTGTGTGGGGCCGGGCCAGGCTGCAACAACGCCGGTGTCGCCAGAGCGATCTGCCAGGTACGCCACGGCGGATTAGAGCCACTAGTGCTGGCACTGGGAGAGGGGCGACGTGAGGGGACGTGTCCCACAGAAGCTTCACCCAACAGGAACATGAGCGTGGCCCCGAAGAAGCATGGGAAAAATGTTGGCTGTTGTTATTTCAGTGATAACACAGCAGAAGATGATGATGATGATGATGATGATGAAGGACATGGGGGGAAATAAATGTTCTTAAATGTTGAAAAGTAAAACAGCCAGGACAAGATCATGTTGGTTCTGTGATCAGTAAATCAGGTTTGTGAAGCTTTTAAAGATCAGGTTATTAAACTGTTTAATAGTCAGAGTCGTAGAAACTTGTTCGACCTGTTTCTGTTGCTCTGCAGCTCCATCTGCTGCCATTTAGTGCTGAAGTGAAACACTCTCCTCTGTATTCAAGATGCAGGTCAGGTGGGTGAGGACTGACAGTCATCTTAGTCAAAAGACATTAAAGCAAAAGCAAATACGAATATTTTTATGGAGGACAGTGGTTCCCAGTCTTTATTGTCTGACTCACCTCCATCAGTTGAGCTGGTGCTGGTGATAATAATA